ATTAATTTATCTATTATTAATTAATTTTAAGTTAGATATAAATTTTATATTAAAATTTATATGCTTTATTTTTATATAGTATTAGAGCTTAGATTTTTTTTTTAAAAGCTCGTTATTAAATCTCATATTAAATATATAATAAAAGAATATATAAATTAAACATAAAGAAAGTTAATCCTTATAATACTAATTAATTTTAATTTAAAATGTTATATTGAATCCTATGTGCTCAAGTGACAGAAAGATTTGAAGAATTTTTAAATTACCCGGCTGGATCGGTGCTTTGTAGAGAAAGAAAAAGTACTTTTTCTAAGATGGAATTGCAATGAAGATTTTGAGGCATAATCTCTCAGAATAGCCAAATCCCTCAAAAATTAATGAAATATCTTTGCCAATTAGAAATTTCATTTTTAAAATCTAAAAATCATAATTCTTCTTAATGAAATCTCCACTCTAAATTTCTCATCCACAGTAATGCATTTATAGATTTCTTCTATTCTATCTTGTTTTTTTTTCTTTCCCTTATAGATAGTTAATTGGGAGCTCAAACCATTGATTGTTCAATGCTTGGAGCAAACATTCCCATTCTCTTACCAGTGGTCCAGTGGCGTTTTCTACCTTTTCATTTACAGCAAAAATATGGGATAAGGACCTCAACTTGCACAAAATTCACAATTCTAGACTTAAACTTCAATTGCACTCAATTAAAATTTCAAATATTGTATGAAATTCTCAAATAAAATCTCAATTAGATGAAAAATTAACTTGCCGTCAAATGTTAACTCACTACAAGAGTAACAAAATTAATGGAATTGTAAGACATTTTTTACGGCAAGTTAATTTTCTATCTAACTAAAACCTTATTTGAAAATTTTGTGTAGTTTAGGACCTCAATTGAATGCAATTGAAGTTTGGGTTTGAAATTGTGAATTTTGTGCAAGTTTGGGTCTTCTTCCCATACTTTTGCCTTCATTTAACTTCTAGTTTGGTTGACGGTGATGGTGAAGCTAAGTTCCTATTACCTCCTCATTGGTTACCGATTTGATGTTTCAATTGCCCCAAATATTATGATAACTTGGAAGCTCGACAAAGGGATTCACCAAGCTGAGTGTTTCTGGGCGGTTGTCCCTACCACTGCCTTTTAGTTTCAACCCTTCAATATGGGTTTGACATTGACATCGACTATTATATTAATCATTTTGTAGAGAGGGGGCATGTAATTCTGAATTCTTCAATTTTTAATAAAAAATTTTCTTCCAAAAGAAAAAAAGAGTGATTTTGAGAATAATTTTCTAATCCACCTTATTTTAGAAATATTTTCTAAACCACCTTTTCAAGAATGATGTTAAAGTTAAAGTACACAATTACAATGGAAAAATTAAGTTTTTGCAATTTGAACTAATTAAGTCATACTGCACAATATTAATCTATAAATAAAAGTGAGTCTCTTAATATAAGAAGTCCTTTTTCCATCCAATATTTTTTGATTGTGCAATCAAGTGTAATTCACATTATAAAATAGAAGATTCATTATAAATATCATACATTTTTGTTATTAAAATATGTTTAAGGAGAGTACAAATATCATTATAAATAAATAAAATCGAGCCAACTTCTTTAAAATATAAATTTGATGCTACAGTAACAAATTGAGTTGAGTTTTAATTTTTATCAAATTTAAATATATTAAGTTTAATGCAGATCGTGAAGGACTTCCACACGAATAGAAGATTGGTAAGGAGACTAAACTCAAGCTTCATTGTGTTGATTCCAAAAACAGAAAACCCGTTAGATTTAAAAGACTTTAGGCCTATTAGCCTCATTGGAAGTTTGTACAAAATTGTGGCAAAACTCGTTACTAATAGGTTAAAAGGGGTAATGGACAATATCATTAGTGAGAACCAGTCAGCTTTTGTGGGAAGAACGCAAATAGTGGATGGAATTTTGGTGTTTAATGAAATTGTGGATGAAATTAAAAGGAGGAACGCAGACAACTTTATTTTGAAAGTGGATTTTGAGAAAGCCTATGATTATGTAAATTAAAATTTTTGAAACAAAAGAAGGAAAAAGTTGGAATTGGGGAAAAAAGGAAGGGAAGGAATAAAAAAAGGCCAACCTCAAAAAAAAGTTCCGGTTTGGGAAAATGGAAGCCCAACAAAGGAGTTTAGGATGGAAAGGGATCTAAGACAAGGGGATCCTCTATCTCCATTCCTATTTCTTTTAGTTGCTTAAGGCCTGCACTATTTGATTCAAAAGGTAGTGGTTGAAGGCTTATTCGAAGGTATGGATGTGGGCTCGAGAAACCTTCAGATCTCACACCTTCAGTTTGCGGATGACACTGTGATCATGGGTAAGGCTAGAATGGACCACATTCGAACAATGAAAAGTATTTTAAGGTGGTTCGAATTGATGTTGGGGTTGAAAGTTAATCTCAAGAAAAGTAGTATTTATGCATTCAATACAGGGAACAACTAGCTGTCACGCACAACCAACTTTCTAAAATGCAAAATGGGTGAAATTCCAGTTCTCTACTTGGGAATGCCAGTTGGGGAAAACCCAAGGAGGAGAAGAATGTGGCTACTAGTGATAGAAAATTTCTATAAAAAGCTTGCTGGCTGGAAAGCTCAATCCCTATCCTTTGGTGGTCGTTTGGTTCTCCTTAAATCGATACTTTCTTCTCTCCCTTTGTACTATTTATCTTTGTTTAAAATTCCTGCTTGTGTGCTGAAAATTATTGAAAAAATTTAGAGAGACTTTTTATGGGGTATGTCTAGGGAAGGGGAAAGGAAGATTTGATGGGTGAGATGGGATCGGGTATGTTTAGCAAAAGAGAAGGGAGGTTTAGGGATTAGGGATTTAAAGAAATGCAACTTAGCATTGCTTGGAAAGTGGTAGGCTAGGTTTGTGGATGGCTCGGAAGGATTGTGGAAGAAAGTTCTATTAGAAAAATATTATGGTGCAAGGGGAGAAGTGGGTGTAGGCGAAACTAGGAGGAGAAGGGTATCAAAAATATGGGAAGATATTGTATCCTTAGGAAAGGAAGGTAGTGAGATGGTGGGGATTGTGGGGAATAGCTTTACTTGGGAGGTAGGTGATGGTAATAGAGTTAAGTTTTGGAAAGATGTTTGGTTGGAAAGGAGAAATCTTGGGATGGATTTTCCAAGATTAAAAAACGTGGCAACGAATGTTGATATAAAAGTTGGAGAGATGGGGGAGTGGTGTGAGGGGGTTTTGAGATGGAAGATAGATTGGAGAAGGGAGTTAGTAGGGAGGGCTAGAGAAGAGCAGATATCATTGTTAACACAGTTAGAAGGAGTAACAATAAGGGAGGGAGTAGGAGATAGAAGAATTTGGCAACATGATAAAAGTGGGAACTATTCTGTGAGGAAGGCTATTTCAATGCTAATTGATAATCAAAGAGTGTTGGATAGTGACTTATGCAAAGCAATATGGAATAAATTTTTGCTTGGAAGAGTTTGTTTTTTTGCATGGAGACTATTTTTGGACAGGTTACCAACTAAAATGAACTTGGAACGAAGAGGTATTCATGTGAGCAATGGAAACATCATCTACGTAAGATGTAATGAAGAGGAAGAGGACTTGGCGCACATTATTATTAGATGCAAGTTCACACACCAGGTATGGATGAAATGCCTAAAGTGGTGGGCATTCTATGGCATGCTACCAAATCCAATACATGAGGCTTATAACCAAATAGTGCTGGGCATGAGCAAGGCAAGAACAAGGAATATGTGGTCAAATCTATTTTTAACCATAGGATGGTCCCTATGGAATGCACACAATAATACCATTTTCAAAGCTCAAGAGATCTCAATGGAGGATGCCTTTGCGAATATTTAGGTCAAATCTTTCTTGTGGTGAAAATGAAAGGCTAAGGGTTTTATTTCCACACTTTATGAATGGGAAAATAATCCTTTTGACTGTGCTATGACAATTAGATAGGATTTAGTTGATGTTTGTATTATGTAATTGCAAATATCTTTTTGGCTGGTTCTATAATTAGTAGATGTAACGGGTTTGAGGTATTCCTTGTACCTTTATAATAAATTATTTTTTGTTGATAAAAAAAAAAGTTTAGCTCAACTCATAAACCTGAATTTGAACTCAACTCAAAACTCAACTGATTATTTGCTTTAATTTAAAATTCAAGTTAAAATGAAACTTAAATTTAAATATTTAATATATAATATTTTTTAAAATAATCAAATTAAGTTAAGACAAGTCGAGCCTACCTTTGACTCTAACTTACCTCAATTGTGTTACCTTAATTTTAAGTCTATACTTAAATTGCACTGTTATTAAAGTTCAAGGCAAATCAAATTCAACTTAAATTCAAGGTTAAAATACCATTTTGGTCCCTCAACTTTTGGGTTTGTACCAAAATTGTCCTTGTCTCCAAAAAGTACCAAAATTGTCCCTAGATTTTCATTTTCGATACTAAACTAATCCTTTCGTTAATAGAAGTGTCAAGTGGCATGTTAAATTGCCACAATATCAATTCTTATATATTTTTTTAAATGACTAAATTGCCACAATATCAATTCTTATATATTTTTTTAAATGACATGTAAACTAAAATATTTTTTATTTATGATTTGAAAAAAAAAAAAAAAACTTCATCTTCTTCCTCCTTTCCTTTCTCTCTCAATACTTCAACAGTTTGCCTCCTCATTTCTCTATTAACCTTCCTCCTTCCTGTCCCTACTCATCCTTCTTCTTTCTTCTTTTTATTCTTTCTCTCTCTTCTCCCTTCTTCTTCCTCTCCAAATCTAGGTTTTCTCAAACCCAAATCTAGGTTCTCAAACCATCATCAAAAAATCATAAATGTAGTTAGAATCGAAAGAAGGGTGGGATCTTACCTTTGATTTCCATAGACGCAACAAATGAGAGAGCGAGGAGGGCATGTAGAGGCAATTATTGATTGGAAAAGCATTGTATCGAAGATAGATTTAAAGAGAGATGGGAATTGTAGGTAGGGAAAAGGTTCAATGGAGGAGAGGACCTTGATGTTTTGAGGGAAGCCTCGAAAGCCTATAAACTCTTTGTCGCCTGCTCTACCATAGCCTAGTGGTGTAGCCTCCCCTTCGTCCTTGATTTTGACTGAGAATGGGATAGCAGGAGCGGTGAAAGGGAAGAAGAAGCTAGGAGGAGCAAGGCTATGGATGAGGTTCAACAAGGATGGGAAGTCGAAAGTCATGGAATTGGATAAGAGAATGATAATCAAACGTGTCAGAATTCCTGGTAGGGATTTGAGGATTCTGGGTCCCTTGTTCTCTCAATCCTCTAATATTCTTGATAGGTTTGATTTACTTATATTGCTGTTGTTTGGATTTGTATTTTTTTGTATCCCAAAAGTAGAATTCTTTTGAAAATGGCTCTTAGATCACACTTCACAATGAATGACTCTGATGGGTGTTGATGACCACACTTAAAATTAAAAACAATGAAAAATTAAATGTAAAATATAAAAAGAAGGGAGTCACCCCTCGTCTAAATTATAAGGTGAGACAAGTCACCTAAAACGAGTCTGCGTAGAGAGCGGGGTTCGAGGGTTCGGTTAGGAGTGAGAAATGGCATTTGCGCATCTCACAATTCTCTGCTTAAACACGGTTGCATACTTTAAAATTTGAGTTTTAATTCAACTTATTCATTATGTTTATATTTGGGTCTTAATACACAAGCTTGAAAAAGAGATAAACGAAATTGCAACATTTTTAACCTTTTGGACTAAAATGGACAAGATCAAAGACATGCATGCACAATGAGCACAAGTAAAAATTAAAGGGTCTAGTTTGATTAAATTCAAAACATGAAGGATTGATTTGACTAAATTCACAAACATGGAGGATTGATTTAAAAAAAGTTGAGACCTATGGACTAAATTGCTTAATTACAAAACTCTTGGGTGAAATTGAAATGAAGAAAGGTAATTTTGACTTTAACTAATATTAAAGGA